AGAATACTCCAGGTAGTGTTGGGGCTGAGAAGACAATACCCCAAAATATGGCCCTTGGGCATGCTGAACTGAAGAAGCCTCCATGTCTCTCTGACCACTCCCTTCCCCTATCTCTCATTCTCTGTGTCTTCCAAGGCACAGAATGAAGTTGTTCTCTGAAGTCTCCTTCTCTCTCTAAAGTGTGGACTCACCTAAGAAAGAAAGAAAAAAAAACCCTCTGAACCCTTCTCTGAGTTTTCATTAACTGAACTCATAATATAGAAAGACAGACTGAAGTTTGTCAGCACACTTGAACAGACACGTCACAAGCTGTTGTCTTCTCTGTGGGCCCAACAGACTTTGAACTGGCCATTGTATGTCCTCTAAGTCCACTGACTTCCTCTAAAAATTATTTTCTATCCCCTTAAAAATATCTACACTTCCCATATTCCCCTTTCCCTTAGAACAAGGGTATATAACCCGCTGGACCTTATAGGATTGGCATAGTAATACAAATTTGTATGCATTTTCTTTTATTAATTTGCTTTTTGTGGGTTTTCAGCCAACCTTCAAAAGATGAAGGGGAAGTTTTCCCATTACCCCTACAGCGGTTAAAACAAGAAATATTGATCCAAAGAATCTGTTTTACAGGCAATGAGGAGCTGAAAAGTCGAACAAGGGCAGTGAGTTAAGCCAGAGTTTTGCAACATCAAGAAGGTATTACTACCCTTAATTTGGAGGGCGGATGTGAGGATGCGCAGTTTCTAAATATACAGAAGGCTTAAGTAACTTGCTCACCATCATAGAGCTAATGGTTCCTGGGTTGTTCTTCAGGCATCATGTACTCTGAACATGGGAGAGAGGTCTTAGAAAATGACATTAGTCACCTTCTGACATGTGGTTTCCTCTGCCTATATATATCACGGGATAATTTCAGGGAAATGTGTGCCCACCAATATGGAAGTGAAACTTTGCCTTCTGAGTATAGGTGAATGGACAAAAAGTGATGAGAAAAGGTCTGAGGCTTCCAAGCCATTTTCAGTGTGCGCGTATAACTTTGGGCCTGCTCAGGGTAAGTGAAAGCAAATGTTGCAGGCAAGAAATATACATTTTGTGCAGGCTCTTAGTTGATAAAGTGTAGCTGTTTCTCCATGTAGTCCTTACTTTCTAAGTAGACCTTGCAAAGCACATTGGACCAGATTGCTTTTCAATGCACAAAACTTTTTCCCCCCAAAACTATTCAAATTGAAAGTGCTAATACTGGCAGAAAATGTATGCAAGTACTATCCTTTAATGTGTTAATGCATCTCTCACCAATCTAAGAAGTTACAAGATGGGGCATGAAAAAATATATTTGAAGGCACAGATGTATGAAGCATAGGATTAAGTAAAACAGATTGAATATGACTGTAATGGGCTGAATTTTGTCTCTCTGAAATTCATACGTTGAAGTCCTAACCCCTAGCACCTCAGCATGAAATTATATCCGAAGACAAAATCTTGAAAGGGGTTATTAAATTAAAATGATGCCAGGTGGGTGGGACTAAAATCAAGTATGACTTAGGTCCTCAGCAGAAGATGAAGAGGCCCTGTGGGCACACATAGACCATGGAAAGAGGCAGCAAGAGGGTGGCCATCTGTAAGGCAAATAGAGAAGCTGCAGGAGAAATCAATCCTGCTGGCACCTTAATCTTGAACTCCCAGTCTCCAGAGCTGTGAAAAAATAATTTCTGTATTTTAAGACACCCAATCTGTGGTATTTTGTTATGGCAGCACAACTAATACAATACTAAAGAAGCAAATCTAGAAATCCTCAGAAGGTGAGACCCTAATGAGGGCCGGAGAAACTAATAATGACACACTTTGTCATGTAGAACAATACGGCTGGCCTGCCAGGACCACAAAGCAATCCTCTTGGAATGAGATGTGCACTGCAAAGGCACTAATAAATTTGTTTTCTCTCCTTCATGGTTGCCCACTTAATTCAATAAGCATTTTATTGTGCATGTATTATTAGGTAGATAGTACTCTTACAGGTTCAAATCTATGAACACCCTGTTGCTTAATAGTACCATTATGACGTCATAGAAACCTCCTTTTTAAATGATTTATTATTGTTTTGTTTTTTCATTTCTTTTCTTTTTTTTTTGTTTTGGGAGAGTCTTGTTCTATCGCCCAGGCTGGAGTGCAGTGACACATCTTGGCTCACTGCAATCTCTGACTCCTGGGTTCAGGCAATTCTCCTGCCTCAGCCTCCAGAGTAGCTGGGATAACAGGCACGCGCCACCATGCCCAACTAATTTTTTGTATTTTTAGTAGAGACGGGGTTTCACCATGTTGACCAAGATGGTCTCGATCTCTTGACCTCGTGATCCACCCGCCTCGGCCTCTCAAAGTGCTGGGATTACAGGCTTGAGCCACCGCGCCCGGCTGGAAGCCACTCTTTTGATGCACACTTGTGACTGCACACTTGTGATAGCACCATTAATTAATTCACCAGGGCAGAGCTCTTGTAGCTTAATTACCTCTTATTAGGCCCCGCCTCCCCACACTGCTGCATTGGGGATTAAGTTTCCATCACATGCTTTTTGGGGGATTCATTCAAACCATAGCAGTGTTACACACAAAATATTTCATATTATATGAAATATGTCACTTACCATTTTTACCTGAATGTCAACAATATCAAGTAAGGCAGCAGTTTAGAAGTTATTAAATAATATCTTGAGATCATATAATTCCAACAAACATGCATACTAAAGCTGACTCATACAACATAATTGTCATAGGACAAATATTAAAAATGAATTAGGAAATCCCAGCGATGGGTTTTTATGCCAATTTATCTTAATTTCTCAAATTTCCATTCTCTAATTATTCATTCCAATCATAAGCTTTCCAAAAAGGAATGCCTATGAGGAAACTTGAAATTTTCTTCTCAATGTTCTTCAATACAACAGTTAAAAATATTTAAAGAAGTGTTGAGTAAGTAGAAAACCATCAGAAGTAAGCTGAAAATGAATGGTCTCAGTGGGCAAATATGCTTACCTTATAAAAGCTCTATTGGTGATTATCTATTAGGTTCTAGTAAGATCATTTTTTAAAGTTTATTTTTGGTATGGAACTAAAACATTACTCAAAGAAATGTATTGACAAATTCTTGAAATTAAAGTTTAGTATTTGGCAATATACCCCTCTGGATTTTTAGGTTAAATTTAATTTTCTTAAACTCAAATGTATGAGCCCGATTTCTTAAAAAATAAATAAATAAATAAAATAAAACCCAAACCCAAACCCTATAATATGGAGAAACTTGAAGTTAGTATATAAACAAGGAAAAGAAGAAACTTTGGTGTATAAATTAGGAAAAATGGGTTCTTATAAGCTTTCTTTGACAGGTCACCCTCCTTGGGTTTCCGAGTTATAAAAAAAGGATACATGGGATTAGAGCTGTGACAGTTTCCAACCGTTTCACGATTTTTTAAAGTCTGCAATTTGTTAAAAATAAAATGCGTCAACAAATATGAAGATTCAAGGAAAAGATGACAACAGGTGGTTCAAGATATCCAAGCTGCAGATCAAAGGTGGGTGTAAAGTGAACAGAACTGTTACAAAGCCTTAAGAGCTGTTATAATCCATAATGATTAAATAATACCAGGGCTATTTCAATTATCATTTTGCAAGTGTTGAAAATAGATTTTGGAAATAGATACTCAGTGCTGCAAAGAAAACTTAGCACTGAGATAAAGGATCTTTCAGCAATGCAATTTTTACTTCCTAGACTGCAAGAAGGGTACATTAGCTAGCCATTGTGCCGTGACAGTACAATGAGCAAAGGAAAACACACAAATTTATCCCTTATTCATTTGGGGTCATCTTTACTCCTGTGTCTGATCTCTGTTGGCTGGAGCCAGACCTCACAATCTAAACTAAAACTCGATTGGCTAATAACTTAAAAGTTTTCTAAACAGGTAAAAGCAGCGGAGAGCTGGGACATGCCTGTGAGCGTGTCCAGCACAGATATCTTGGTCAAACTACAAGGGCAAAAAATGTACTACTGCCTATAAGCATGGCATGTCTAACCGCTGCGTAAGATAGGGCTTACCAAAGTTATTAGCAAACTTATTCTTTAAAGGGAAAGGAAACTTTAAAAAGGAACTTTTCTACTATCCACACTAAACTTGCTCTACTTGTCATTGGATTAAAAATTATACCTGGATTTTTAAGTGAATTCTATTCGTGACAATATGCATTTATAATTTCTCTCCTCACACAGCTTCACTCTCACCTCAGTCCCCAGATTAGCTCCCGGAACTTGAGATATTTTTGCTGCTAGAGATTGCTTTCTTAACGATAGGTTTTCCTTACAATTCCATATATAGTCAAGTATTCCATGCACGGCAGTTAATTGTTTGCTTAATTTGGCAACTGGGATATTAGATTTGTGTATTATCTAGGCAGTGATATTTTTGTAAGGTTGTTTGCTGCATAGATCCTATTTCATTTATATTTAGTCTTGGGAAAATAAACTTCATTTTTTCCAGAGCCCAGCAGTGACTGACACATATTCGAATGAATGAAGTAGATAGATGTCCATATTCATTTATGTAATGATTAGTTAAGGAGAAAAGTACTTCTCAGCATAAAGATTTCTGGCAACCCTTTGCTTCTTTGACTTTTCCCTTCAGGCAACTTCACTGCTTGTGAAATTCCTAGAAAGGCGAGGAAGAGAACGCGTGACATAGAAAGGGGCCGGAGTTCGGGACCCTGTGTAGTTTTGGGACGTTATGGACACGCAGGGAAATGTTTGCTTTGGAGGCTTTGGGCAAGCTAGGGATCCGACAAGCCCTGGGCACAGGGAGGAACGCTGCCCTCCGGCCTCCAAACGAGCTTCGCGGAGCCCAGCGCCGGTGTCGCGCAACCTGCCGCAGGGGCGGCTCCCGGGTCCAGCAGCCAGGCGCTCCCTCGCCCCACCCAGGAACGCCGGGCCCGCGCTGGGAGGGGTGGGGCTCCACGGTGGCCCCGCCCCGCCCCGCCGCCGGGAGGGTCACAATGTAGGGTTAGGGCGGCCGGCGGGCGGGGCTCTGCGGGGGAGGAGCCGCCGGGCGGGGGCGGGAGCGGGGGCGGGGACGGTGTGTGGGGGAGGGGAGGGAGCAGGACTCGCGGAGGGAGGAGGATAGCGCCATTCCGGGCGGCCGCTCCCTGCGTCCCCTCTCTCCCGTCCCTGCAGCGGCCGGTGAGCCCCGGCCAAGGAGCGCGCGAACGCGTGACGCTGCCCGGCTAGCTCGCGCCCTCCCGCGCCCCGGCGTCCGCCGCCCGCTCCTGGCCCGGGCCACCGCGGAGGAGCAGCGCTGAGGCGGGCCGCGTGGAGACGTGGGGCGGCCGCCGTGGCCCTCGCAGTGGGCGCTTCGCCGCCTGTCCGCGCTGCCCGCGCACCCCGGCCGCCATCGGCTTCGCGCCTGGCTGGCGGGGGCGCTGTCCTCCCCGGCAGTCCGCGCCGCTCCCTGGAGCTCTGCGGAGCGCGGCAGCCAGGGCGGGCGGAGGCGCGAGGAGCCGGGCGCCGCTGCCGCCGCCGCCGCCGCCGCCGCGGGGGCCATGACCGTGGAGCAGAACGTGCTGCAGCAGAGCGCGGCGCAGAAGGTGAGGCGAGCCCGCGAGCCGGCGGGCCCCACTCCTCCTTCCGACGGGCTGTCCTCTCCCGCCGCGGCCGGGCGCCCGGGCCTCGCCGCCGCCGCCGTTCCCTGCTTCCTCCCCCGTCACCCCCGGCCCCTGCCCATCGCCTCGGGGGCGTCGCGCCCGGTGCCCAGCTGTGTGTGGGAGGCAGAGTGTAGTTTGCGGGCTTGAGTCCACTTCCTTCTGCAGATTGTTTTCCTGTAGCAGACGGTGCCAGGTATTGAGAACGACCCTCACATTCCTACAGTGCTCTTTGTGGCTTCTTAATGAAACTTTATTCTCTTCCCTTAAATAAAAAAGAATAGCCGGTTGTCATCCTTTCTGAACCCATGTTGTCTTTCTAAGGTGGCAGTGTTCCAGGCCTGCTGTTTTGCAAAAACGGCCGCCACCAAAATCCAATCACCTGCCTTGCGGGGCAGGCGTGTTGACCAGGTGAACTCTATTTAGAAGTAGGTGGTTTGCTTGGTTTCTTTTCCTTTTATGGTTTCCTTTTCCTCCTCCTCTTCTTTTTATTTTTTTTCAATATAGAAACTGTCCCTAAGAGAGGAAACCTTTCTGTCTATGTTATTTCAGGAATCTTTTGTCCCCTAAGTTTGACCTTGTTCCTTCCTTCACCCTTTTCTCTTGCATCAGTCACACATTTAAATGGTCACTCACTAAAGAAAACAATAAAAACTGTGAAGCTTTGTATCTTTAAAGTGAATCGTGAGAGATCATTCTACTGTTTTAGATTTTGCTTTCAGAATCTTAAGTGCACCATCATGGCTTGCCCCATATTCTGAAGAGTAGTTGGCCATGACTTAATTTCTTTTTTTAATGTTTCATTTGCGTGAAAAGCATTTTGGGCAAAAGGGCAAGCCGTACCTTAGTCGTGTTGGAATTACGGGGATAATTAGGCTTTACTGTGATCTACCACCTGAGTTGTGTTTGGTTCATCTGGGTGAGTAATGAATGCCCCACCCTGTTGGAGTTTTGGTGTGGTAATATCCTACCTGTACTTGGTTACTGTTCTAACATGGGCTGTCTGCGTACAGCCTGCTACATTTTTGCTTTGAGATTGTTTTTAGAATTGTATGATACGGCTTTGAAGTAATTGAAGATACTCAAGAACTTTGGAAAGCAAGGATAGTGCATTGTTATTTTAGGCAGGTTGGGAAAGTTGTTGAGACTTGTATGTTAGTTGATATTACTGGTAAAGTTAGACCGATATTGCACACTGCACTTGCAGTGAAATAATTCAAGACTTAATACTGAAAGTTTAAATGAGTTTACTACCTAATCTTCCCTATTCTATTTTGAATACCTTCAAGTTTAGTTTTTAAAGACTTAAGGCTTAGGAAAGATTACGTGGTCATATGAATACTAAGCAATATTTAATGTGTTTGGTACCATTTGTTTACAGTTTTCTTCAATGTTGGATATTAAAGTCTGTTTAAAAGTGAGAAATGTAAAATTTTCACATCTCCTAAGTTTGAACAGGGAAGAACTTTGTAAGTTTGTGAATTTTTTTTTTCCCAATTGATTTTGTTTAAACTGCATTGAATGACTATGCAGACTCTATTGAATGGTTCAGAGGTTATGCATAAAATTGTAGAATCAAGAATCAAGTTAACGAAAGAGTGATCTTGCCTGTCAAGTCCAATTTCCTAGTTTAATGAATCCCCTCCCCACACAAAGGGAGTAGTAGTTAATTCAAAATACTATCCTTTAGTACGAATATGTTTTAGATCATTTAATCCACTGTTATTGGGGAATTCTTTTAGCGAAACTTTTAATGATACTTAGATTGTTTTACAAAAGAAACCCTTAAATGTGTTTGCTTTCCATATTGATACAAAATTACTTTATTACTCAGAACTATTTAAAAAAATTCACATGGTTATAAATAAGCCATGTACCTCAATAAGTTGAGAGATTTAAATCCATCAAGCTAGTAACCAGGAAGTGAACTTAAAGCTGGTAACTAGGAAGTGAACTTTACACTTAGAAGAAACAAAAGTGAAAGAAACTCTGTTTTTACTTAGACACTTTATGGGTTATCTGTAAAAGGAGAGGTGTGTAGTGTATATTGCAGAACGAACATTTTAGCCAGTTTATCACTTTAAAAAATTGTACATATGTGTTTTAAAATTTTAAGTAGATAGCTATATTTTGTAGTCTGAATGGTTTCTTATATTTTCTGCTATTATTTTGCAGGTGCATGTAGATGTTTTGTTGTTGTTTGCAGCACCACACTGCACAGAACTTTCATGGGTTTTTTTGTTCACCTACAGAATTCATCGGTCATTGTCACAATGTAGTTTGATGAGGCAAGGGGCCGCCTTTTCCTTTTGATGTGTTCTTTGCTTGATTGCTGGAGTTTGGCCAACCCAGGGACTTATGAGATGTAGTAAAACTGCAGAAAGCTGCTTTGCTGAGGTTTAGATGTTTCAGGTGAGGTGCAGTTGGCAGCAGATTAGCTAAATCCTGTAATAATTTTGGTCTTGGACATGTGTCTTCAGTCTCTGTGCTTCATATTTACCTAGATGTAGGAGGCTTAGATCTAAGACATTTGATACATAGATTCAAGTTCCAAATGAGGATCCTCCCCTCCCCCCTCCCATCATCTAACCAGTTGAACCAAGTGACGATTCTTTAGGGTAGTATTAGTAGGAGGTTTGCTCCCAGGGACTAAATTAATTTACAGAGTTAAATGAACAGGATACTATTGACAGTAAATGCATCCTGCTGAGTTAAATACAATATATTGTTTCACTCTAGGGCTTAGAACAGTTCTTTACAGATAGTAAGACTCAGCAAATATTTGATGAAGTAAGTGAATGGTTTCCAAAAGGAATGTAGGTACAGTACTTAGTTTTCTAACTGAATATTGAAATTTAAAAATTAAGAAATGATGAGGCTGGGTGGGTGTGGTGGTTCATGCTTGTAATCCCAGCACTTTGGAAGGCTGAGGTGGGAGGATCCCTTGAAGCCAGGAGTTCAAAACCATCCTAGGCAACAAAATGAACAACCTTTCTGTTAAAAAAAATAATGAAAGCTTGAAAAACTGCTCATGCTAGGAGAATAGGCAGCGTAGTGAAAAGACAGGATGTGGGATAGATCTCAGCCACCTTTTTGTGAACTTGGGCAAGTCGTTAAGTACCTCTGAAGGTTCTTTTAATGCCTTAACATTAGTATGATGAGATATGAGCAACTTCTTTAGATTGTTTAATTGCCCTAAGCAAGTATTCTGTGTAGGGAGCATAAAAGATAAAGTATAGGATGGAGGCAGAGCAATCTCACAGATCTACAGTCCACTTTCACTTAATTCCTGGAAAGATGAAGGTCAGGTGGGAAGGTTGACACAGATTAACCAACTTCACAGTTAAAACTTGAAAAACAATACAGACTGGATTCAGGGTAAATTTCCTAGTTAAAATAACACGTATTTTCCAATTTAGGATCATCTAAGTTTATAAAACAATACCATACAGCATTTGGTAGTTAACAGTACTTAAGTCACTTAAATGTTACATAAAGGGGATATTCTTATTAGGAATCAGTTTATCTTATTATTAGTCTAAGTCTTGATTTGGGCACAGAAATAGTTCCAGCTGCTTATTCTTTTTCTTATTCTTTCCCTTTTGCACCTAATTTTGACTCGTATACTCACATTGTATCCAGCTTTTTAAATGAATTCACATCATTTCTAATATTCTTTTGGTTTTCTTCAATAATATATGTACAGTCCATATCGTTTACAAATACTTAATATTCTGACCTCTTTCTTGTCATTATTTATACGACTTCGTAAGATTACAGAATGCTACTACAATTTGTTTCTGTTATATATTGTTTCCTTATGATATGAAAATTTTCTTACATTCCTAGGTTTTATAAATGTTTCAAAACTATATTTAAATGACTATCATGTCTTTTTTTCAATGAATGATGTGATATTTTATATGTCAGAATACAAGAACCATTTGTATGTAAGATATATGAATATTTCCTATATAATCTGTGTAAGGCACTGTGCTAAGTATTCTTACAAACTTTTTTCATTAATCCTCCCAACCACCTTATGAATTGAGTACTGTTTTTTCCCTTCTTATTGAAGCTGAGGAAACAGTATTGGAGAACTGAAGCGGTATTTCATCTCTGGCATGTATTAAGGGTTGGATTTAAACTCAAAAGTCATATGATGGACAAGTCCCTGCTCTTAACTGCAATGCCATCCATATCCGTTTGGCTGTCCTTGAATTTCTGATAAAACCCCATTTGGTAATGTTGCTGTACTATTTTAATATATTTCTATATTTAATATAATAAATTTGAACCTAGAACTTGGTATACAATTGGTCTTCTGTATCCGCAGGTTCTGAATCCACAAATTCAACCAACCATAGATTGAAAATATTCTGGGAAAAAATGAAGCATTGTTGCATCTGTACTGAACATGTACAGTCTTATTTTGGCCATTATTCCCTAAACAATACAGTGTAACAACTATTTATGTAGCATTTACACTGTGTTAGTAATCTAGAAATGATTTAAAGTATACTGGAGGACGTGTGGATGTGTAAGTTACATGGAAATACTATATCATTTTATGTAAGGGACTTGAAAACTCAAAGATTTTGGCAGCTTTGGGGGTTCTGGAACCAGTTGTCCTTGGATTCTTTAATGAGATTAGTTAAAATGTTTGTTGTGTCCATGAGGGCTATTAATATAAGGTTAGCTCATAAAATGATTAGGAAGCTTTCTGTGTTTTCCTGTGCTTTTGGAATTGTTTAGGATTAGGTAGAGTCATTCAGAATTGATGGCCTATAGTCCTTTTTGATTTAAAAAATTAGATATTATTCAACTGAAGTACATGTTACTTTGAAGACTTGGTGAATGTGATTATATCAGGGCTTAGCTGCTCATTTGCAGCAAATTTTAGGCAAAGTTTCCAAATTTTGCTCATTGCCTTTTACATTTTCTGT